CTTTCACTGGCAGTGAGCAGGAGGACAGGGTGAGATCACAGCTCAGGTCGAGCTGTTTGGAGACAGAAGCAAGGCTGAGATGTGCAGAGAGAGGAAGTCAAAGGAGCTGCCGGGGCCGAGGAAGAGGAGGTTCATGGATGTGGTGGAAGAAGACAATGCTGAGGTATGACAGGAGGATGCTGGGTGAGACAGTGGCAGACGATACACTGTAAAGGTGAAAACATTACGCAGTTCAATTAATTTTGTTTTGAGAATGTTTTTTAAATTTAGATTTTGATGCAAAGATTTGTAAAGTCGAAACATTTTAATGTACATTCAGTAGTTTCGATCGCCACAGACGTCAGCCATCACGGTTCTTGTGTAGTTTCTGAACTTTGTAAACTCGAACTACGCCCGTTAGTCCAGATTCACTGTAACAACTCGTCCTACAGCTCAGGCCTCCTGTAACTGAACGATTTCTGCCACAGGTTGATTTTTGTCACCTCTGGCAGAAACTGTGCTCCTGGAGCCAAAACTGTTGCGTCCTTATTGTCACTCAGAGCTGGAGCGCCGGTTCTTGTCCAGAAGCCAGAGCACGCCGGCAGCATCGGCCTTGAAACTCCTCCTGTAATCTTCACTAAACGCGTGCGTTTCCTGTCTGTGTGCTCACAGTTACTTTGTGTCATTTTTAAACTGCTGACTGTAGCTGATCGTTTCATAGGTTCATGAATATGTTGCACTTTTCCTAACAGACATTTCCTGTTTGCAGCACAACCTTTCACACACTTCTGTCCCAGCTCTACGTCACATGTTCGTTTCACCTTGTGACCTCGTCTCTTCAGTGCTGGCAGCAGCCGGTCCAGTATGAGAAACTTCCCAGAGCTCTGCACCAGCTGCTCATCGATCTGCAGGAAGATTGGGATCAACATGTTATCCAAGCACGAGCCGATTCTATTTAACTGTGAAACACTGAGTTGAGCTATCAGTGCTTCTAGATGAGCACAGCATTACCTTGAAGTCCCCTGTGGCGGGGTCGAGGGGGTACTCCACCAGGTACGGGTGGTTGCAGCATCTCTTTAACAGCATGAGGATGTTCTGCAGCTTCAGACTGACCTGAGCGTCCAGCGGGCTTTGGACATCCAGCACTGGGTGGAAGCTGAAGCAGAGCGGAGGACAAAAGATGTGAACAAACGTCTGTAAAGGAGGATTTGTTACGTTGTGGTGGGGACAACAGGCAGGTAACTGCAAACGCTGAACATAGTAACGTTGTTTCTCCTGTCACAGTAGCATTCGCTGCTTGGGGGCCGTCTCACCTCGGCTCCAGCTCCTTGCGGACCCTCTCCAGATATTTCTCCAGGTCATACGGAGTGTCTGTGTCCGTTTCCTTGTAGTCCACTACCTTCCGGCTGCGACGCTTCGGCCTGCCGCTGGACGTCAGGGCTACAGGAGCCTCTGTCTGAACACACCAGGAGAAGCAACAACTTTCACCAGGATCAAACCAGAAATGATGAATCCACCAC